AATGTAGTGTGACATTGACTATTTAACTTAACTCTTTTTAAATGTCCACTTTCAATTGTCGATTTTAAAAATAAAGAGGTAATTTATCAATTAGTTTTTTGTATTTTGATCTTCATCAACAAAGTGATCAAAAGTTCATGAAATTAGCCAATTTAACTATTAAGATTCGTTCCCTCTAGTCCATATTGAGTAAATAGTCATAAGTTTTTTTAGTAGTTCAAAATAAGTGATTTTTCAAAAGTTATTTGTTAATTGGTTTTTTTTTCTTCATATTTATCCTTTCTTTCAATGATGTTGTTCACTATTTTACATTTTTAGGAGAACACTTTAGGAATAATAATAAATATAATTAAAAATAGCCTTTAATGTTTTTCCTTATGATTTTTCTTATATAGGAGTGTTATATCCTAACAATTAATTTAATATAGACGAGAGGCAGTATCATTCATTCCCCCAATATATTTCTCAACATATTAAATATATAATTTTCAAAATATGATATAGTAAAATTAATGAATAGTTGCAAGTACCCCACCCCCTGAGCTATGAACGAAATCTCAGTGACACACCTTAACTAAACTAAGGTCCTATAATTCCTGAACCCATTTTTGAAAATTAAATATATACACCTTTTTGACTTACATGGAATCCAAATATCTCCCACGCGTCTCATTTGCGTGGAGTCACGCAGTGTGCTGTATTAGACAAAAGTTGTACCTAATTATATAATAAACAATTGAGTTTGGGTGGGTGGGTGGGGGTAGTATCTTAATTTAGTTAATACCTAGTTTTACCACTTAATAATAGTGCTAACTACTTCTAACAACTTATTCTAAAAGGAATTGTCTTATGAAATAATAATTTATAAGTTTAATAAAATATATAGGTTAAGTTGATTTTTTCTTCTAAAATTAGGGAGGAAGTAAATTGAATAATAGTGTTAACTACTAACTGTAATGACCCATTTAGTCGTTTTGAGTGTTATAACCTTATATTCTTATAAAATACTCTTCAATAAATTTGAAATGAGTATTTTGGACTATTCATAACTACATTTATGAATTTAATGGGGTAGTTTTTATAATTTGTTTAGTTGGTGGTTAATGAAAATAAATGTAAACTTAATAGTGGGTTACTTTCACACATCTATATTTTCTCTTATATAATAATTAGTGAGTAAATATTCTGTAGAAAAAATAAGGGTTCGAGAAAAGAGAGCGGCTACGTCAAAGACAATCGTGGCTCTTTCTACTGGTAGGTTTCTTCGTAAATTACAATTTCATTTTGGAACTATTATTGTACTACTATAGCATCGAATGGATGGAATGGATGTATCTTTTAGTTGGTAATTGGTCATTATAATTAAATTAGGAAGGAAAATTTGTCAATGTTGAAATTGAGATTTTGAATATGGCACTTCGGCAGTACGTTCTTTCACAATTTGAGAGGGAAAATGTTCTGTTGTTATTGGCTAATTGTGGATAAGGTTTGAGGTTATTGGTTAGGTTAGCCTGGCTTTCTATATAGATATATGTTGTTGCCTGGAGAATGAATAGAAATTGTTTAAATTTTATTTCTTAAAAGCTTAAGGATATTGTATGATTCTTTGTTGTAAAGATTGATTATTATGGGGAAAAATCGGATTAAATAATAATTTAATACCCATGATTAATTGAGGGTTATGTGAAACTATTCATTATTATGTCGAGTAGAGAGTCTATCTTGCTTCTGTAATTTTCTTACAGGTGGATTGAAGTTAAATGAGTTCTTATTTTGTTTCGATGTAATAGATTTTTGTTGTGGTACTAGGTTTCGATAGAAGTTTTTATATATTGGTATAGGTAATTAAATTTTAGGTGTATTGATGTATTATATAAGTATAATTAAATTATGTTATTTAGAGGAAATATGACTTAACTCTAGACTTGCTATTTGAGAAATACTAAACTTGATACATTAGTTGGTATAAAGTTTTCGGAATTTGGTTATAGTAATATGAGTGTCTACAGATTGGTTTGCTGATATATTATGCATACTTGATATACTGGAGACATTCTAAGGCATTGAGTAAAGGAAACACTAGGGGGAAGTAGCTTACTTGACTTCAATTCTCTGATGGAAGTAGGTTATAGTTTATTCTATTTGATAAAAGGACTCTTAATAGTGATTAATAAGCATTGAGTGATATTGTGAAGTTCCTGATTTACTTGATTGTGTGTTCTCTGATTGGTCTGAAATCCTGAGACCGTGAAATTAATAATCTTGATACCTATCTATCGAAGTGATGTTTTTAATAAAGAAGTCTTGATAAATATTGTTAATGTAGTGAAAAGTGGAGATAATAAATGATAGTTTTACAATATAAATAGATCTGAGTGACACGTTCTGACACGATTTTATTGATCAAAGTATCATATTCCGATATAGTATTATGGATCAGACTGTTACATTCTGACACGATATTATGGATCGGAGTATGACGTTCCGACACTGTATTATTGGATCCGAGTGCTATGCTCCGACAAAGTATAATTGGATCTGAGTGTCACATTTTGACATGATAACATTTAAGGAGAAAGATATTGAATTAACTTAATGTACTCAATTTCAACGAATTCATTTCTCAAATGAGCGTATGAGGAGGCATGAGTCCCCATATGTGTGCTTGATATTGTGATTGATTGTTTATTTACTTTAATGTTGTTGTCACTGGTTAATATTGTTTGTTGCTTGCCACTTACTAAGGATAATAGTTGACTTTATACTATTATTCATTGTATATTAGTTTCTATTTTGGGTTGGCCGATGATACTTGCTCAGTACATGTTGCTCCATACTATGCTCTACTTGTGTTTTCCTTTTATGGAGTGCAACAAGTGTACTAACAACTCCGACTTGCCCTCATCTCTAGCCGGTCTCTAGCATATTAACTTCTAGGTTGAGCACCTCATTCAAGCTCGTATTGGATTCTCTTGGTCATGACATGATGTCCTATGTTTTCGAACATAGACTATTTTATTTATTTTTTTGATGTGTTTAAACTCTTAGACTTAGTATTTGAAGATAAAACTCTTAGCCTTAGTATTTTAAGATAAAACTCTTAGTCCTTAATTTGAGGACTTTCAGGTTTTTGGAATGATATTTAGTAGACTTTAAGGGAAATGAGTTTCTTACACTAATAAGATTTAGTATTCCTCATAATGATTAATATTTCATAAGTTGAATTCTAAATAAAAGTTGGGGTTGGATTCATTGGTTCTCCGACCTAGGATGTTAAGTTTGGGTGTCACTCATGACTAGTTTCTGGTCGTGACAAGCTTGGTATAAGAGTGTTAGGTTTGGTGATCTCATCACACAAGGAAAAGTCTAGTAGATTCTTCAAGAAAACTATATGGAACCTCCTTTACTTTTCTTCGAGAGGATATTAGATATTAGGAAAACTTTATTCATTCTTTCTTCCGTGCTACTACTTGAATTTAATTGAAATCTAGGTGATAAAAATTGGTATATGAACTTCTTCACTCTATTTCACATATGGCTAGTACTGGAGTATCGTTAAAACGAAAACAAAATGTGTCCTTGAAAATAGGCATATTTTCTCAATTGACTAAATGGTCAGTAATGACTAGTAATCAACATAATATTTTTATCATAAAGTTGATACCCTCATTCTTCATAGGTATTGATTATGAAGATGCGTATACTTTCATTGTTTATTATTTTGACCTACTTCATAATATGAATATAGTTGAGAGGCTTCGTGTTTAGTTTGTTGTATACTAGTTTCGGAGAGACGCAAAATGTTGTGGCAGTCTCATGTTGGCTGCCGATTATTAAAGGAACTACCTATGACTTAAGGAAATATTATCTAGCTTCTTCATCAAATTAAATACCCCAAATGTAGAGCGATAAGAGGAGAGATGGTTTCCAAAATAAATATAAATGGAAGATATGTGTTGTAGCCTATTAGGTCAATTTTGTACTTTATCTAGACATTTGACAACATGCAAGAAGTTTCATAAGGGACAACTAGAAAATGATCATCATTACTTTAGAAAATAAAGTTAGTACAACTTTCATATCATGTATGAGTTGTTTAGCGAATGATGAAATTAGGTTGTGTCAATCGTGGTCAAAATCTTTACTACGATCCCATGAATTTATTTTATATTAAGGAGGGTCAAACTTATTAAGTGTGTTACTTTTATTATCGACCCGATCAAAGAATGAATGCAAATATCTTAGGGGTAGAGACAAAATGGATTTATAATATTTTATCTATATTCAATGGGTATAATTGTTTGAGCTATTTCGGTGCAATCTTCTCGATAAGTATGGTGTGTTCTAGTGATGGATTTAACGACCTTTCATTGTACGGTACGGTGCTAGTGTTACGTGGAAACGATTACATTGATTGTCAAGTGTAAATACTAGCTACTTAAGGAGCTATCAGTGGTATGACATGTTTAGATATGAGATGCGATGTTGCTTTTACAATTGAAAAAAATAACTAGTTTGTTACTACGGAAACTCGGATTAATGATTATTTTAAAGGAAAATTTTAGTGGTGAATCTTTTTTACGATATTAATACATTTAGGTTGTTAAATGTATCTTGAGGGTTCTAGGACTAGTGATTTTTTTAATCTCCAAAGGAGTGGATTGATGTTGGAATGAAAAACTTATAGATAAAGAATGTTAGTGACTATACTTGGGTGAATTCGATTGGAGATTTTAGTTCGAAAATATATATAAAATTTTTGTAGTTATTTGGATCTGATTGGTATGACTTGTGATGACAAACGTTTACTAAGCGTGATGGAAATATGAGTTAGTGATGGATTGTGATTGAGATGCAATTGTAGAATATGTATTGTTGGTTAAAAAGATTTTATATGGAAATAATAACTTGTGATTATCTATGTTTGTGGGTTTCTACTATTTAGAAAGTATCGTGGTTTAATGGAACGTTTTGAGACATGTTGGGGTACCTCTCGAATATAATTTAAATGAGCTACATTCATAATGAAAATGAAATAAAAATTAGTGGGATGAGTGTAGCCTTAGAAAAGAGGTGAGAGTAAGAATATTTTCTATGATTACAAGGACTTAAAAGTTATGTTCAATGAGATTAAGAATTGGGTTCAGTAATGCTTAATTTCATCCGCTCTGGGTATAATAATACTGTCATGTGATCATCAGATTGGTTTAAAAACTAGTTGATAAGACTTGATATAAAAGTGTACATAGGTCCAACTCAAGTTTGATGATAAGTTCGTTTGTGATTTGAGTTTGGTAATAAGAACATTTTGATTTATAGTAAAAGATACTGTAAGATCGATGGAGAGGGGTTTAATGATATGTCAAGATACATGAATACATAAAAGGCTTAAATAGAAAGAGAGATAGCTTTAGTTTTAACATGTGCTTGATGAGATATCTTTGATTCTAATGATGATTTGGGAGTAAGGTCGATGATCGGTGTGGTTATGATATTTTTTATAGTATTAAGATTATTGAATTCGGTGGATGTGGCATTCAATAAATCAAGTATGTGTGAAATTATAATATGGACTAAGTTGGTGATTGTGGGTAACTAAAAAAATATATCAAAGATATAGATTAAGATGAATAAAAATGTTTGATACGGGCACTATTAGGGGCGTCAAATGCGCGGGCTAGTTTGAAAATGAAAATATTAAAATGGGTTAAACAGAAATCGGGTTGAGTCTTTACCCATCCAAGTTTTCTTTGGGCTCAAATGTGTTGGGCACAAGTGGGCTAAAAATGTTATGAGACTTGACCCGCCCATTTTGACCTGATAAATCTCAATAACATAACATATTGTTATTGAACTTTTATAATTTACAATTTAGATTTCAACTCAAGATTTTTTTGTTAAAAAGGTAACAAATGGATTAGATAAATCCTTAAAAATGTTAAATAAAAAATACTTCATACCTTTAATAAAGGAGCATATCTTAATTATAAGTTTTAAAACAGGTTGAAATTTGGGATTGAATTGGGCTCAATTGGAAATTTTCTTCAAATGGGTTAAGTTTAAATGCATTGAGATCGATCCCAATTCAAATTATCTTGAGTCCAACCCTTAAAATTCTGGGTGCGTTACCTATGTTTTAGTTAGTTTTTGACACCCCTAGGCCCTATGGGAGGAGGATCTAGAGTTATTAGACCTGGTTATGTACATTCTTATGTGACCAACTACTTCATTATGGTCATGGTTTAGAATATAGTTTACTTTCTCTATCCGTGTGTGTTTTCGCTTTATGGGTGAGTCCCTCGTAGTGGATCACGTGTACCTATATGTGACATGCTCTTGATTGGGTAGGATGTTTAGGCATACTTGGTTATCTCAAATGACATATTTGGTGTTGTCTTGGATCTATTAAAGTTACTAGACATTCTACATATACAATTTTTCTTATGAGAATTTATAGGAGAACTATCATAAAATTTTACAGTTGTTTCGACTTAAGAATTATCTCATTATCGGTATCATGTTTTGACTAAGTGTAGATATCCAACTAGTTGGTTTGATACTTTTGATATGAGACCTTGAATACTAATATTTTGAAGGAATTGTTGACACAACTACCCTTTTTTACCCTCACCTTCTTTTGATTGTTCGAGAGTGAACCTGTGTACATTGATATGTACTGTAACGACCCATTTGGTCGTTTTGAGAAGTAGAAATTTTTATTTTATAAATTACTTTTTGATAGACTATAAATGCATATTTTTGACTATTTGTATCAAGATTTTTGAATTTAATGAGATAATTTTTATAATTTATTCAGTTGGTGGTTAAGGAAAATAAAAGTAAACTTAGTAGTCGATTACTTTCACACTTTTATAGTTTTTCTTATATAATATTTATGGAAAATATTTTGTAGAAAGCATGAGGGTTTGAAAAGAGAGAGACACTGCATCAAAACTAATCGTGGGTCTTTCCGCTGATACTATTCTTTGTAAATTACAATCTAATTCTTGAAAGAATATTGTACTACTATAGAATCGAAAGGATGTATTTTATAGTTGATACTTGGTTGTTATATTTCAATTAGGCAGAAAATTTTGCAATGTTGAAACTGAAATTTGAAATCTGACACTTCAAAAGTACGTTCTTTAACAATTTGAGGGGACTAATGTTAGGGCATTATTGTCTAATGATGGATAAGGTTTGAGGTCCTTTGTTAGATTAGCATGACTTATATTATATAAATATATGTTATTTGATAGATATTTATTAGAAATTCTTTCAGTTTTAATTCTTAAATTCTTAAGGAAATCCCATTATTATCGGTTGTAGAGTTTGATTATTATGGGAACAAGATTGTGAGTAGATAAAAATTGAATTACGATGATTAATTGAGTGTTATGGGCAATTATTAATTAATATTAAGAGTATAGAGTAGATCTTGGTTCTGCAATATTACTTTGGGGTGGATTAAAATTAATGAGTTCTTCGTTAGTTTCGATGTGTTGTATTTTTGTTATGGTAGAGACTAGAGTATAGAGTAGATCTCGCTCAAAGTGATGCGTTGAATAAAAAAGACCTGATAAAATATTGTTAATACACTGAAAGATGTGGTGATAGTTAATTCTACATTAACAATATTTATGGATCGGAGTGTTACATTCCAACCGGTATTATGGATCAGAGTGTCACAATCGAACACAACATTATGGATCAGAGTGTCATATACTCCATATGACATTATGGATTCGGAGTATCACTTTTTGACAGATTATTATTAGATTGGAGTGTCACTTTTCAACATGGAATGATTGGATCAGAGTGTGACACTCCGACACAATAACCTGAAAAGAAAAATATATTGAATTAAGTTAATGTACTTAATTTCAAAGAACTCATTTTCCAAATATGTGTTATGTGGAGGCATGAGTCCCCATACGTGCTTGATATAATGATTGATTGTGTACTTACTTTAGTGTTGTTGTCACTCGTTCATGTTGTTTGTTACTTGTCACCTACTAATTTTCATAATTGATTTTATATAACTTTTTATTATATGTTAGTTTTTTTTTTGGGTTGGTTGATGATATCTATTCATTACATGTTGCTTTGTACTGAGCCCTACTTGTTTTTTCCATTGTTCCTTTTCATGACCTCCATACTGAGCCCTACTTGTGCTTTCCTTTGTTCCCTTTCATGAAGTGCAGCGAATGTACCGGCGACTTTGACATGCCCTCAGCCCTAGCTAGTCGCCAGCATATCAAGTTCCAGGTTGAGATACTCATTAAAGCTTGTGTTAGATTCTCCCGGTCATGATATGATCTCATTAGATTTGGGACATAAACTATTTTATTAATTTATTTTAGTGTCTTTAAACTCTTAGACTTAGTATTTGAATATTAAATGTCCTTAATATGATGAATTTCAGGTTTGAAAATTACATATAGTAGACTTTAATGGATTTGTGTTTCTTACACCAATAAGATTTAAGCTTCCTCATTATGATTAGTATTTCATAAGTTGAATGATAAATATAAGATTGGGTTGGATTAATTTGTTCTCTCACGTAGGAGTTTAAGTGTGGGTTCCACTCATGACTCGTTTTGGGTTGTGACACTAACTATAATTACTATAAAATAGGGGTGAAGTAAATTCATTACATAACATTAATGGGCTGACACAAAAAATGAATTGTATAATTTTTTACAGATATTGTTTGTGCATTTCTGATAGGAGATTTCTTGTTTTTATTCTTCTTTATGAACTGGTGAAAACCTTAATTTTTAACCAATTAAAAGGATTTGAGACCCATATTAGGATTGTCTTGTGGTGGGATCTACTAAAAAGAACTCTTCAAGGCCACAATTTACAAGAAGAGTTGTAACTTTTATAAAGAATTTTGACTTTTCGGAAGAGTTGCGACTGTTCTGAAGAGTTGACACTTAGATGAAAAGTTATGACTTTTTCGTAAGTTTGTTGCTTTTTTGAAGGGTTGTGCGTTTTCTGATATGTCACAACAAAAAGTCATTTACACTATCATCTATTCTCTATAAATAGATGGGTTTCTCTTATTTTTCATTAACAAAATTTTGAACTTTTTTCTTTTCTACTAAATATAGTATTCTAAATGAATTTTACTACTGTTGACAGATTTGCTGACACCATGGTTTTCACAATTAATACACCGGTGAGTAACATTATTCTATTATGAGAGGAATATTCCATCAACCTTGAGTACTTGAGGGAACTAATTTTCTTAAGAAAACATATTGTATTCAGTGGGGTCAATTTTATTTTTGAGAATTTTTTCTATTATTGTTTTTAACTAGTAAAATTACACGCGCTTCGCGCGAGAACTTAATATAAGAGAATTTATAAAATAATATTATAAATTTATCAGTTATTAAAACTAAAACACTATATTATCTCACATACAAGATTATTATGTGGTAACAAACATCGATAATGTAAAGGAAATGACATTTATTACATCCTATCATTTATTCTTACTAACAGAAACATAATTTAATTACTAAATAAATTATACCAAGATTTGTAACATAAGCAATCATTAGTGAGACATTCAAAAGGAACAAAGTACATAAATATTTAGTCGTGAAGAAGAAGAAGAAGAAGAAGAAGAAGAGGAGGAGGAGGAGGAGGAGGAGGAGGAGGAGGAGGAGGACGAGGAAATGTAGAATTTTCGTTGTTTTAAAGGGAGAGGAAATCCATTTATTTATAGACAACAAAGGGTACCGTGCACAAATGTTTATTATGCTTTAACTGAAAGGTTACAACTATTTGGAAAAGTTGCAACCTTCTGAAAGGTCACAACCTTTCATAAAAATCACATTCTTAATAAAAGTCGCAACTTTTCATAAAAGTCACAACTTTTAATGAAAGTCACAACTCGTCATAAAATTCACAATTCTTCATAAAAGTCACAACTTTTCTTAAAAATCACAACTCTTTATTAAAGTAACAACTCTTCATTAAAGTCATACATGTTAATAAAAGTCGTAATTTTTCATGAAATGAGAAGGCTATTTTGGGAAATAAATAAATTTAAAAGGGAATTCTTGTTTGTGATGGTGCCACATAGGCTAGTCGAAGGTTTTCTCATATATATATGTGTGTGTGTGTGTGTGTATGTGTGTGTGTGTGTTAAGTTTCTAGTTTTGATAATATTCTTTTAATTTTGTTGTTTCATACCAAGTTCTTCAAAAGTATTTTTTAAAAGTATCTAAGTAATATTTTCACACCAAAAATAGCTTTGAAGTTTAGGTGTTTGTGTCAGGCATGCTGCAATATACACAAACATTCTAGTGATCAGCTTTGATGTCTCCTTGGGAGTATAGTGTTTTTGTAGCTAATGCCAAAAGGTCTAGCCTGTATCTTCTTCTAAAGCATAACTTCTTTGGATCAAACATTAGTTATCTTGGTGTCTAGGAGAATATTCCCAACTTTGTGCTTTTCTCCTTAAGCTATTTTTTCTCTAATATCTTATAGCCAAAATTGTTTACTTTCTACTGTGGACTTCTGAATTTTCCTAATTTTTATGGTTTCATTCTTCAATTGGAATCAATAGAGTTAGAGATTTCCAGCTAAATGTCTTTCAAGGAGGAGGATGGGGAGATTCGTGCACATGTTGTATAAAATGGGAGTACTTGTAGAATCAGTGAATATGGGCTTGAACTTTATCCTCTTTCTGAGTGTGACTTTGGCGAAGGCTTACCACATGCTCTTGGAGATTTTCAAAATTCTGGTGAAAAGTGGCGTTGGCAGGCATACAAAAGAGTTTCAAGTTCAGGCATCTTAAGAGATAGATATTTGTATATTCCGAAGCATTTTAGGACACCAAAAAGCGGACAGAAAAAAAATTTCGAAGTAAGATTTTGGTTGAAAAGTATCTCCATTCTGAGTATCTTGACATGGATATAAACCAATTTTTTCCTCATTTAGTTGGATGATTCCTTCGAAGAAGTCGCCAAGCTTAAAAGGCTAGATTTTTTTGTATATAACATGTAGATATTTATTGAGTTGTTTGCGTCAATTAAAAAAACACTTAATACATCTTTTTATTGGCCTGATGCCAAATTTGTTTCTTTTTAATCAAATATTTACTTCGACTCAGATATGATAGAGAGGACTACATCTTTAGGGAAAGAATTGTAGTTTTTACTGCTTGATTTTACTATAAGAGCCATTACTTGTAAGGCTGGTAACGAAATTTGTAGAAGTTTATAAAAAGAAAATCCTTTTCCAGCCATGGTTTGTGATATTTGTTGCACTGGACCTGTTTTTGGCGACTATAATGGGTACAATTATGTTTGATGTGAAGCAACAATAGATGGATATATATGTGGACATATTTCCCATCTAGACTGTGTTCTACGAGCTTACATGGCTGGGAAAGTTAGAGGAAGCATCGATTTGAATGTACAATATTTTATGTCGATACTGTGATTCAAGGATGGATTTGGTTCCACATGCTCTGAAGCTTATGAATACTTGCACATCTGTTTCTTCTCGTGCTGACATTGAAATGATTTTGAATGTTGGCATTTATATTTTGCTTGGGTCACAAAAAAAGAGGGGAAAAGAGTTGTTGCATCATATTGAATCAATCAATGCGAAATGTCTTGCTCAGATACAAATATTCAAGTCAAAGTAACTGATTAACACAAACAAGATGATGAGAGGGGAGAAAAGTTACCAGTGCTATCCACACAACCTTACTTTTTGAATTCATCTTGAATACAAACTTCTTTCATAAGCTGATATTATTATCAAACTAGTCATTCTGGTAACTCTAAACCTCAAATTGAAAAAATATAGCATCATAAGAAAAAAAAGTACAATTCATCAATTAGTTATACCTTCGCATTGATTGATTCAATATGATGCAACAACTCTTTTCCACTCCTTTTTTGTGAGCCAAGCAAAATATAATGCCAACATTCAATATCTTTTCAATGTCAGCACGAGATGACATAAATGTGCAGGTGTTTATAAGCTTCAAAGCATGTAGAACCAAATCCATCCTTGAATCACAGTATCGACATAAATATTGTGCATCCAAATTGATGATTTCTCCAACTTTCCCAGCCATATAAGCTCGTAGAGAAATGTCTAGATGGGAAACATGTCCACATTCGTATCCATCTATTGTTGCTTCACATCGAACATACTTGTACCCATCATAGTCGGAACCTATTGTTTTGCAGCAAAGGATACAACAACAACCTCGGAAAAAACAAGGTTCACTGCAACAAATATCACAAACCATGGTCGGAAAACGATTTTCTATTGATAAACTGCTACAAATTTCATTACTAGCCTTACAAGTAATCACTCTTATAGGAAAATTGGACACTAAAGACAGCAATTTTGTCCCTAAGGATGTAGTCCTCTCTATCATATTTGTGTCAAAATCAATATTTGATTAAAACAAAAACAAATTTGGCATTAGGTCAATAAAAAGAAATGTTAAGTGTTTTTTTTAATTGACGCAAACAACAGAATAAATATGTACATTCTATACACAAAAAGGCTAACCTTTTGAGCTTGCGACGTCTTCTAAGGAATCATCAAACTAAATGAGTCAAAAAATTGGTTTATATCCATGTCAAAATAATCAGACTAGAGATACTTTTCAAATGAAATCTTACTTCGAAAATCATTTTTCTGTCCACCTTTTGGAGCCTTAAAATGCTTCGAAAGATACAAATATCTATCTCTAAAGGTGCTTGAACTTGAAACTCTTTTACTTGCCCGCCAACCCCACTTATCACCAGCATTTGGAAAATCTACAGGAGCATACGGTAAGTTCAAGCCCAATTTCACTGATTTCTAGAAGCACTCCCATTATATACAACATGTGCAGGACTCTCCCAAACCTCCTCCTTGGTAGATATTTAGCTTGAAATCTCTAACGATGTTGATTCCAATAGAAGAATGTAACCATAAATATAAGGAAACTTTAGAAGTCCACATTCCAAAGCAAACAATTTTGGCTATAAAATATTGGAGAAAAAACTAGCTAAAGGAGAAAAGCAAGAAGTTGGGCATATTCTCTAGGAAACAAGATAGCTAATGTTTGATCCAAAGAAGGTATTCATCAAATGAAGATGGATATTAGACCTTTCGGTATGAGCTACAAAAATACTTTCTTCCCAAGGAAACATCAAAGTTGATCAGTAGAATGTTTGTGTATAATGCAGCATGCCTGACATAAACACCTAAACTTCAAAGCTACATTTGGTGTAAAATATTACTAAGATACTTTAAAAAATACTTTTGAAGAACTTTGTAATAAACAACAAAATTTAGAGAATATTTTCAAAACTAGAAACTTAAAACCAATAAAGATAATAGAATCTGAAACAAATTAAAAATAATAAAGAAAATATTTTCTCAAAAAAAAAAAGTTGACCCCACTGAATGCAAAATGTTTTTTAAGAACTATAGAAGGGGAAGGTAGAGAGGAGAACTTGTTTATGGAAGAATACTATTTTATTAGGTTGTTCTTGCCTTCTTGGTTTGCTTGGGTTAATTTCAAATGAATATGGTCACCCCTATTCATACAAGAGTAGGAATGCTTGTAGAAGGTATTCTAGATTGATGTATAAAAAAAATCTAGATGTCCTTATCTTCTAACTATTGATCAAGAATCTAGATTATTCTATAATTCACTATAAATATCTACTTCTCTAGAACATCTACACAATTCCTAGATACATCAAGTACTTAAGGTACTACTCTATATAACTGTATAAAGTTCTACTAAATATTTAGGATTATTTATAACTCCAAAAAATCATATTTGTTTTTTACACTCCCCATTAAAGTGATTTTTTTGAAACTACCCGACATTGTCATGGAGAAGCTCAAACGAAGCTTTGAGGCACATCTTGGTGAAAATCTGGCAGTTTCTTCCAGACTCCTCGTGTTGATTTAAATGATGAAGATTTTCCCTTATAAAAAGATCAATGTAAATTATCTCCTTGCTGATTTCATGAAATCCCCCTTTCTCTTCGCTTCTCGAAAACTACATTATCCAGAAAAACACTATCAATTTTTACTGAAGTCTCAACATCATCATGGGATACACTGCCATATTCTTTTATCATCTCCTCGGTAAATTTTTTGACAACATCAATGCTTTCAAAATTCATATCATTTGTCTTTAAGACTTCAATATCATCTTCTTCCTCTATTAATCTCTACTTTCTCCATCAGATTTAAAAAATTTCTCCAAGTCATTAATTGTCCTTAATATTCCAGATGATTGAGCAAATACTTCTGCTTCCAATATATCTCCATCAATGCTTTCGCTGTATATGTCGTTACTAGCACATGCAGTTTCAGATATTGCCTTTTCGGGATCTTTTTTTCTATTTCTTCTATAGAGGATACTACATAACCACATGGAATATCCTCAAAAATTTCATGGTTAATGTCAACATCAGTTTCTTGCTTTCCAAGTGATCGGATATATATGATATTCTAAATCCTTGATCCAGTCTCTTTCAAGATTGATGGAAACTATGGTATCTATTGCTCAAGCCTCAGCTACTATACCTTTTCCGAACTCTTCTCCTTCTTCGGCAAATTTTTGTGCCATATTTCTTTACTTTGCTTGGAACTATTTCTTTATGAGCCCTACATCGCCACAACGATAACATCTGATTCAGATGCCTGACTAAATGAATAGGTAAAAGATCGGGATAGCCGGGATGACCTATTTTACGATAAGATGATCCATCTCTTTGTTCGCTTCAGAGGCTAACTCGGATAGGTTAGATACAAGGGAAAGATCCCATAAAAGATATATTGGATGCTCTTTCTGATGCCCTACCATATTAGTTAGAAGACTCTTTCTTCTTTCTAGGCAAGCTTGAACCACCTGAGGATCTAGAGTGAGACATATCTCCTGTTTTTCCTTTAAAATTCCTCTGTTTGTCTACAAGAGAATTTTCTTCTCCTCTGATAAATACACTAGACAACTACTTGGCTAGTAATTCCTGTGGAAACAACAAATTTTCAATTTTTTCCAAGGATGGCTGTTGAGACCAACATTGAATTGACATTAAAAATTTAATATATTCATGTTTTAACCCACGAATAAATATTGTTCTCATTGTGCTTCAGAAATAGCCTTTTTTAGATTCAATAGAGATATCTTAGAATATAAGTTATTAATCTCAAAAAATACTCGGAGATGGAAAGGTTACCTTAAGTGTTGTTAGCCGATTCATTCTCCAATATCTGTAGCCAAGCTTCATTCTTCTTGTTGAACAAATGTTAGAGGGTCCTCCATATTTCATAAGCTGATTTACACTTTATAATGCGATCAAATTAACCAGATGAGATTGTCCTCTTTAAAATGAACTCCGCCTTCACATTAACCTGCTTCCACTTTTTGTATATGCTACTTCAATATTTCGGCCCGTTAGCAGGAGGACTTGTGTCATTCCCATTACAAACATCCCACAAAATCCTCTCCAACAAGGTATGATTCTATGCAATTCTTCCATACCTTGTAATTGGACTTGTTTAACAACTCCACCAAGTCCATTATCACAGCTGATAAAATCGATATAGACAAATTAGTTAAATCTAGCTCTAACCCGATCTTGAAATAACACCCAAAAACCAATGTCTGATTATGGATCTGATACTGTGTAGAGAGTAGCAGAAGAAAAGTGTAGTTAAGAAACCTTCTTCTAGCCCAAAAATATATACTAAGATTGGAAGATTAAACTAAAGAAGGGGAAGCTAGAAATGAGAACCTTTTTATGGAAAAATACTCTTATTAGGTTGTTCTTGGTTTGCTTTGGTTATGACTATGACCACCCCAATTTATACTAGAATAAGGATTCTTCTAGAAGTTATCATTGAACTCGCTTTGTTCCAAGCAGTTGTAGTATGTCACAATAGCACACCATCTAAATCTCATTTTTAATTCAAACTACTCTGTAATGTTATACTTGAGCAGAGAGTCTATTAGAAACAATCTTTCTACCTCGTAGGGGTAAAGTTTATAAGACTAGTTTCTGGCTTCCCCCTTAAGTCATTGGGATGCAGTTGTTTATATTCTGCGTTATATAAAGTCAGCTTCGAGTAAAGTACCACTCTTTGAGTATCAAGGTTACAAGCATATCATTGGATATACAGATGTTAAATGGGCAAGATCACCATCAAATGGACGTATTACATCTGAATATTGTGTTTTGGTCAAGGTAATTTTGTGTTGTGGAAGAGTAAGAAACAAAGTGTGGGTGCTCGATCTAGTGCAGAAGGAGAATATTAAGCAGTAGTTGTAGCAACTTGTGAGTTAGTTTTGATCAAACAGTTGTTGAGAGAACTAAAAACTGAAGAAATTGATCGGACGGAACATCTATGTGATAATATAGCACTCCGTCTCGCATCAATTCCAATATTTCATGAGAGGACTGACCACATTGAGATTTATTATCACTTTGTCAAGGAATGATAATCTCAAGAGACATTGTTACAAAATCTCAACATTTAAATTTCCTCACCAAGTCCCTCACTGTTAAAGGCGGAGACTGTGATATGTTCAGTGAATATTTTCAAGAGGATCTCACCTCCTCTAAATCGTACGGTGAGGCTACCAAGGATCACGAAAAAAGATATTCATCGATTGAATAATTGAATACCGCCTATGGATTCTCTGGACACAACGACCAAGTTCAACCTACCTCCAAGGAATCCCTCAAATCAGGGAGGAACCTCTAACATTACCATCAAAGTTTCCACCACCAATATTGAAAATCAAATAACCCTTACAACTAATGTTTCCAATGTTAAGCTTCGTAGCATGAATATTAGGGGAATGGATCCAACTATTCCTTCGAAAGATTACTCCTCTTTAAACAACAATTTCATTTTCCTCTCCTCTTCCTACAAGAATATATGGTATCTTGTGATAAAGTGGATAAATTTAGAAGGAAGTTTGGTTTTAATCAAGCCTACAACAACAATTCTAACAAAATCTGGATCCTTTAGTTGAATGAAATTGATGATGAGGCCATTCATGATTGGGAGCAATATGTTTTTCTCAAAGTTATTCATAATGTTGACCATATTTTTCTTTCAGTTATCTATGAAAAATGCACAGAGCTGAGGAAAAACTGATGCGGTGAATTGAGAGTTATAGCAAATATTATCCAAGAGCCTTGGGGAGTAACATACGACTTTAAATTTGTGGTATCCAGTGATGAGAAATTTCGACGAAGGATCATAGAAAGGAAGAAACTCTTGATTTCATTGAATGCCCTAATAAGTGTGGTCTTCAAGATGCAGGGTTCTGAGGTTCTTAATCATGGTGTGATAGATACCCCATAACACTATTAGGAAAAGATTGGACAAACTTTTCTATTACTCTTTATGGTAAGACATGTATATTCATGTTACTCACTTATCCAGAATGTGCTCGAACCATGCTTCACTGTTAATTAAAATGAATAATAATACTCCTCAAACTAACAAATACTTCAAATTCTTGAATATATAGGAGGATCACTTTGACTTCATGGATATAGTCCAAAACTCTTGGAATGAAGAATTCAATCAGAATCCTTGTAGATCCTTCACTAGAAAATCAAGAGGACTTGCAAAGCTATGAGTTCTTGGTCTAGAAAGTCTTTTGGGGACCTCTACGCATAACCTAGAAGAGTTGAATTCCAAATTCAAGATTTTGAAGACAAGAGTGTAACAAAAAACACAAGAGATAATAAGAGATATCTCTCTAGGTTAACAGCCGAATCCACTAGATTTCTCAAACTTCAAGAGTCTATCCTCAATAAAATTTCTAGGGTAAAAGGTCTTGAAGGAGATTCTAACACGGTGTATTTTCTCAACATCATCAGAGACAGGAGAAAAAGATCGAACATTGGGAAATTTATGGATGAAGACAACAACTGCCTGGAAGGAAATGACAAAATTGCTGAAAGGGATATCAGATTTTACAGGAATCTCTTTATTACTACAATACTAACCCTGGTTATAGCTCCCTTAATATTCTTCATAGGTACATCAAAATGGGAACAATAATATGTTCTTCTCCCTTCCAACACTCAAAGAACTTCAGGATTGTTTAATGTCCATAGATATCGATAGTGCTGCTAGACTAGATGGACTAATTGGGTATTTTATTTAAAGTACTTGGAGAATCATTGTTTCAGATCTCCATAAAGTTGGGACTTCCTTTTCGTAGGTGATATCCTTCCGAATTTTGATACTCATATTTGTCTTGTTCTTATTCCTAAGATTGATCACCCCAATTTTTTTTTTTGAGATCTATGAACCTGTGTAATGTTTTAGTAAAAGTATCTCTAAAATATTGAATAACAGACTGATCTCTATCATTTCTCGAATTATATCTAAGAAGAAAAGTAGATTTTTTGATAGCCATGAAATCCGTATGTGGCCCACCACTCTTTGGACTAATCACATACTTCTAAACTCGGTGGATAATGGTCCCACCCCTCTACCCTTCACCAATTAAATATCGCGCTTCATTTTGCATGGTGGGTGATTTGAACCTGCGACTTAAGCCACAAATCCTCCACCTTTTGGCACTCGATCTAGGCCTTGGGAGAAGGAATCAAAGTATCTTTCTGAAATGCAGCACCATTACTTGAACTATTTTTCTATCCGAAGAAATTATTGGTTATATGGAACCCTAGACTTACCTCTACCATGTTCTTAGGAATCTTGGTTTCTCTGAGCATTGATTTTACCTCATCCATAATTATATCTCCAACACTTTTTTATAGTGGTAAATGGAGGTCTTCATGGTTTCTTTAAATCTTCTAAGGGTTTGAAGTGAGGAGATCGTCTTCCCCCCCCCCCCCCCCCGTCTCCTCTTAATTCTGAGTGTCGAATTGTTGTCTCAAATGCTTAACAATCTGCATAATCACACTGCATACAAGAGTTTTTATATGTGCAATAATAGTCCTTAAATTATCATTTAACTTTTGCTAATCACACCATTATTTTTTGTGATTGTAGCAAGAGATATATCAAACTAATCACTGACATTGTCGACAGGTATAAACAAATATCTGGTCAACAGATCAAAAAAAACAAGAGTAGCTTCATCATGAAATCAAAATCCAACAAAGTTCTATTTGTCTGTATTTGATTCTGGAGCAAAGCATCAATGGATTGGATGAATTAATTTGAGTTACCCCTTTGCAAAAGGCGGTGATAATTTTAAGAAAATTTCAAATGTTTGTATGGACATCAAGGAAAATCTATGGTGCAACCTAAGAACCTCTTGTTATCTTTTGGGACATTACATGAAGGCTAAGTACCTCGATAATCAACATTAGAAAGTCATATGTGAAGTTAAGTCATTGGCGGAGAAACATAGTTACTACCCCAACAATGAAGGGCATATCTCTATAAAGCTAGACATTGTTCTTACTAGTAATGGTGAATGGAACTGGAATTTTCTGCTAGTAGAGCTCCTAAATGATCTAAAGAACAATATCATAAACTTGTGGATTATTCTAAAAGACCTCACAAATGACAAAAGCTATCTGGTAAAACACCAATTAGAGACACTTCACCCTCAACTCTGGTCGGGATATTATTAGAAAGCAAAGAAACCACAACAATGCCACCAAAAAGATCTGGAATAATAGCATTACATTTAATATGGCTTCCCTTACATGGAGAGCAATTTATAGCAGGCTTCCTACTTATGAGAAAGTGGCTAAGTAGGGCATCTATAGTATCCACGGATATCATTGTTGTGCAACAAATAATGAGACCAACAACTTTGAAACAGTGAATCACCTATTCTATTCGGGTGAACATGCTAGAAAAGTGTACTGGTGTGATATCGTAAGTCTAGTTGGAGTGAGGCTCACCCATAGGTCTCCTAAAACCGCATCCTCAATTGGGGGAATACTGTTACAAAGAACCCTATTTCTAATTTCGGTATTCACGCTCTCCCCCTATAATTTGTTAGGAGAGATGAAGATAAATATGCTCTAACGAATTTTATGCTATTAAGCTTTCTGTATACAGATCTAAAGCTAAAATTATTTTTAACATTGTAGAGTTTTGGAGAGATATACACTGCATTTTTTATGAAAAAATTCATCACCACAGAACAACTACAATCGTTAAGTGGATAAAAGCTCTTAATATGTCTATAAAATTCAACAGTGATGGTTGTTGCTTTCAAGTCCGTTCTGGTGGAGGTGGCCTGATCAGAAACTCGTTGGGAAACCTCATGTTTTCTTACTGCATCAATTAAAAAATGGTACGAGTAACATCGTGGATATGACAACTCTTCTTTATGGACTTAAATGGTGTGCTAATAGAGGCTTCTCTAATTTCTAGGTTGAAACAGACTCCATCCTTTTAACAAAACACATTAAAAGAGAATGGAACTCCCCATGGAAGATCAATGGTATGGTTCAAGATGCGAGGAAAATAATTGACATGGTTACCATATTAGTCATTGCTTTAGGGAGGCAAATAGACTTGAGTAAAAAATTGCCAACTTAAGTTATGGCATTTTTAGGAGTCCTCTTCAACTTTGTTTTGACCCTTTGTAAGAAAGTTGGAGGTTTCTCCGATAGTGCCGGACCAAGGATTTTAATTCAGGAGGTTCGAAAAATTAAAATATAAACATGTAAATATGGTCCCTTTGAAATTTTTTTGGGTTTAAAACCACACTTTTGGCACATTTTTTTAAAAAAATGCTTGTAAAACAGATTTCATTATTTAATACAAAAATAATCTGAAACTATAAAGAAAAATAAAGAAATGTTGTTGCAAGGGTTTGAACCTGGGGCATGCAACTTACTATTCATGGGTCTTACCATTGAGCCATCTATTTTTATGTGTTATTGAGGGGGTTAAGAATATATATGCAACTACAGAAATATAGAAAATTTACCTTGTGTATATCGTGTATTTTTTTGCCGAGGGGGTTCGAGCGAACACCCTGGACCCAACGTAGGTCCGCCCTGCTCTCCTATATGGATAGATCGGATTTCCCAACCACTAGAACAAAACCAATGTAACCTTTCAATAGTATTTACGAGCCCCAATAAATTATACACCGTGTTCAAGTAGCTTTTGATTCAAATTGGACACCCACCTTTCTAGTGGTACTAGTAGAACCGTCCTACACTGTTATTACCCCATAAAAACATGATATGAACTTTTGAGCTTATCATAAAAGTTCTAAAAGACCACTACTTTCAATATTTCTCAACATTGTAACACATAGTTGGTGCACTGTCCTTGGCATTTTCTGGTTAATGAATTCATACTCCTATAACATCCTTGTCATAATATGAACGAATATACAATGTTTATCGAATTTTAATTATTTTTTTATAATTGGTTTTTGAAAGATTTATCTAAGAAGTGAAAAAAGTGGCAATAACCAATTATTTCTTTTTAAAAAGATTGTAATGTTAACATAATATTGCTATAACCAATCTCTTTTGAAGAGATATAGTATCGAGATCTTAGATACTCAAGCTAACTTTTTAGACCATAATCAATACGTCATCCAAATGGTACTCACAATTATAGACAGTGTAACCATAATTCAGAAGTATAAGCAACAAGTGTATGAAAACAAATTTCAACGTTTAAGGATTATCAAAAGATAGAATGAAACTAAATGTAGGAAAATCATCATTAAGAGAAAAAAGAAAGACTTTAATATGACTTTCGCCAAAAAAAAAATCATTTTGAGTTATATGCATAAATGGTGTTACTCCTTCAGGAAGTGGGACCTTCAAAAAAAGTTAAGAATTGATCATTACTTGATGTAAATGGAATGTCATACTGTAATGCAAAATCATGTATATAAGCAAAGGGTCTGCATTTATTATAGAGTCATAAACATTATTATACAGTCATCTTACTTGATGCTAATAAAATAACATATATTATAATGCAAAATCATATATATATATATATATATATATATATATATATATATATATAAGAAAAGGTTCTACATTTATTATATGATTATAAACAATATTATACAATATTTTTTAATAAATGTACAATCAAATATCATATAAGATTACATACACCATGTCATCAATGTCTGCATCCATGTTTTGATGGAAGGGTAGGTAAAGTAACTAGATTAGAAAAGGTAAAATTGAATGGAGAAACCATAAAATTGTCATTCCAAACCACCAGGATATTAAATAAGCACACTTTTTAATATGTAAATTTTATTAATAAATATAGCATTACTAAGATGTTGCTAGAATAGTAGAACATGTATAACTATGAGTATAGCTCTTTGCAGCTGGAAGGAGTCAATATAGTCAAAAAGAGTGTCAAAATAATTAAAAAAATTCATCTACATTTTTCAATAAACCCAACTTTGTTGAGAGGAAAAACCAAATTTGTTGAGAAATATTAGTTATTGAGGAACTACAACTTTTAGCTAGATATTTATGAAGGACAATACTACGAGTAGTCTAGTCTAGACATGTGTAGACTTAATATAACTTGATTAAATAATTTTATACTATTTATAGCACCATAGTCTACTAAAAGAATGATGAAACTTATCATATATGTACTCAACAGAAGACACTAATATCTTAATTTACTAGTCTTTTAATACTAGTACAACTATCAACCAATATTCTCTTATAAAAAAGGATTTTGTTTTCCGATAGTTCTATAGGTATATTTTTGTATAAGTTCTCTGGATACTTTCTTCTCATGATTTCAGTAGTCTTCATAGCCGCACAAAATCATATCCATTCTGTTAAATGTAATCATCACTCCAAGAGGAACACAAATGATCTAACAAATTTGGAACGCAGAATACATCATACAAGTACGATAAGCTTTAGATCTAAAAAAACACTTCAATCTTTTCCAGTTTCACTGAATGAAATTGTTATTGAGACATGCAAGAGTTAACTAGGAAATTAATTTTTCAACAAAGTAAGTAATGCTAGGATCTAACTCATCAATAATAAAAGTTGATCTTGCACTCTCGTTTCTTTAATAATATTTGTCTATTTTCTTTTGTATCCATCTAAAAGGGCTTTCCTATAATGGAAATTCTCCATACAAGCATTCAAGTTAATAAGTTAACTTACGTTCATATCTCATATGTAATGTAATGCCATACTAAATTTTCTATTTTTATACTTTCTTTTCACAAGGTAAATAATTTCATTAATGTTTGAGTCAATAGGCATTTGAATACAAGAAGTATCCAAAAGGAAACCGTATAAATATATGGTGTTACGAAAATCACCTAATTTTCTACTCAATATGAGACATCATGGTTAAACCAAGAGAAGATAATGGATAGGGGATTATCCTCAACTTGATAAAATTCATCATCTCTATACCTTGAAATGTTCTCTCCACTTTTCCGTACTTAAAACTCTTAATCGAAAAACTTATTATAATACTACACCCTCTGTCCGATATTGTTTGTCATTGTTTCTATTTATAGATTCAAACTTTAAGAACATTGACTAACATTTTAAGATGTATTTTTTCATCATATTGATAGACAAAAAAATTGCAATTTATAGTACTTTTCATATATTTTTTGAATATCTATATTGTTTGTTTAAAATATCAAATAAATGTAATCTAATTTAACTTTGAAAATTAGTCAAATTAAATTTCGAAAAACGCAATATGACAAACAGAAGTGGACGGACGGAGTATTTTATACGATGCTTTTTAACAACTTAATATGATTGTGTTGGTCATAATATGCCATTTTTTTGTTGTATTGTCGACTATTATCTTTTTATTTAGTTATCACCAAATTTGAAACTACAGTTTTTTCTGTGGAGCAAATTGGTAAGTCCAAATTTACTCAATGCCACTAACAACTAGGTTTACCAAGATAAGTCCTCCATACTTGAGAAGATCATTTGAGATTACTAGAATCAACTTCTATCCGTTGAACTAGTAAGAGAAATATTGAAGGTAACAACATCTTGAATCCCATATGAGAAAGCTACAAATATATTTACTCTTTAAACAACACAACCGTATAATTACATCCAAGTTATTCAACGATCACTTTGCTAATCTGAAGAAGATAAACATATTAAGATGTAAATCCGATTGCAAAATCATAGGTCCATGTCTAAAAATTGACGGGGGTGTACAACCGTTTCTTAACCAATGTTCACCAAATTGAGGAACAATGACTAAGAAATTTAACAAGGATGGCAGAAAGATGAAAAGGGGAGAGAAACTTTGAAAGAAGCTAGACAAACATCGAAACATCCATTTTGTTGTAGAATTTGGTAAAAGTATTATTAAATAAGATCTACAGAGGATCAGTAGTATTGACTCATTAATCATGATTGCATATTTTGGAACTTTTAAAGATTCAAATTCAAGGTCAACTTTAATTGGTTATAAAAAAATATTATTCTTCAATT